CTAAGTCACTAACGTACCAGTCGGATCGGCAGGCTGCAGGCTGAAGTTTGGAGATCCGACTGGTACCTATAATCAATGACTTGGCAGTGTCCCCACCTTCATGTGGAGGCTCACCCGGCGCCTGCTTTTTTTTCGAATGTGAACGCTCTGGTCCGACGGAACAGGAGTTATCGGGACACGGGCAGTTGGATCGGTTTCGTTCGCTGAACGCGGCAGTCATGGAACATTTGCCTCGTTATTACTGTTCTAGTGTTCTTCATAAAGATTAATCCATATGCATTTATTACTTTTGGCATGATTCTACTATTATTTCGTTTGTTCATGCATTTCTTACTTGCCGCTGTATTCTGCTACATCCATTCGCGCACGGCGTCTACCCCACCGCGAAGCAACAATTTCGATTAAACTGCACCACACCCGGCGTTATCAATTTCCGATGAACACATACGCATCCACCGACACCTGTGCGCGACCGCCATTAGTGGAGTTCTGCTCAAGTTCTATGGGGTTAAATAACTTCGGCTATTACAACCCCAATTTTCCGACATGACCGCAGATGTTTACTCACAATCAGATTACGCTCATTTCACGCACGCTCCACTCTCTCCATCCCTAATACGTCCCAAGCAAGGGTGGGGATCCGGATCAGTCACTTTTTACCACCTGCCATCAGGGTTCTAATCCATCCACCTGTATTTGTACTAAATTTGAATACCCCAGGTCCCAATTAACAATTTCTGCGCACTCCCCGCACCCTGCGGACTGAGTCCATTTTTGCAACCAACCATCAGTGCTCCCATCCTGTACTCCTAAAGTATTTGGCCGCTCCAAAGGAACAGGAGTTATGAATTTGCGGTCAAGCACACACCGACATACACACCGACACATACACTGATACATCATTATCATTATCTTCAAAACAATTGAAACGAATACGATTATCCTATATACAGCAGGATATGCGAATCGTTGCAATGGTTTTGTCAGTGAACAACAATCGTTCATCTGCTACTCTCTTACATGAAACTCGACATCATAAATTTACTTGAAGTTGATGAGTTGAACAGACAGAATAAATGGAGGAGTTGAAAAATGAAACCCACCTTTCAAAATTGACAGTCCAAAAGGTACCATTACTTTTATGCTGTCGACCGATATTAAAGCAATAGCGGCAATTAGCGGGCTGAAGTTAACGAATAGTAGTGACTGTT